ATCTGAGCCAGTTTGGTGTAGTGGTTAAGGGCATGGGAGAACCGGGTTTTATTCCCCACTCCTCCACTTGCACCTGCCGGATGACCTTGGGCAAGCCATAGTTCTGGCACAGCTGTTCTTGAAAAAGAGCAGCTTCTCTCAGAGCTCTCTTAGCCCCGCCTACCTCACAGGGTGTCTGTTGTGGGGAGGGGGAGGGGAAGGAGTTTGTAAGCCGCTCTGAGACTCCAAGTGAAGGGTGGGGTATAAATCCAATCTCTTCTTCTGTATCTTTGTTCTGCTTTGCCGCGCTGCTTCAGACCAACATGACTACCCGCCTAAATCTAAGTAAAAAGGTTTAGAGTAAAGGTTAGAGTAAAAAAAAAAAAGTTAAGAGTAAAACAAAGAGAGCATAACTTTCAGATGACAAATATCAGACCAAGATTGCTGTTTATTTATTTACATCATTTATACTCCACCTTTCTCCTCAACGGGGACCCAAAGTGGCTTACATCATTCTCCTCTCCTCCATTTTCTCCTCACAGCAACCCTGTGAGGCAGGCTAGGCACTGGCAGAGTGTGTGTGACCAGCTCAAGGTTACCCAGCCAACTTCCATGGCAGAGCCGGACCCGGAATCTCCCGGCTCCCAGTCTGACACTCTGACCTCTTCACCACATTGGCTCTCCGGTGCTGCCGCTATTCAGCAGAGCAAGTACACAGATGGAAAAGGGAAACCCAACGTTGGGCACTAGAACCATAAAGTGGGGAGGGGAAGGGCTCCCTGGTACACAAGAATGCCTAGTGTCCCTGTGAGGAGTTTTAGTGTACGATAAAACAACAGAAATAAAATCGGAATTTACATTAGATGAAGTGTTGACTTAAGAAACAGGCATCAAATAAGAACTGTTACTCATGAGTAAAAAGCAATGGAACTTTCCTCCAATTAAGTATATTAGGATCAGGGCTTGTGAAATAAACTTACCAGTGGTCAGCATGAGGAGAAGAAAAACAGCAAGACAGCCTGACAAACTTAAGTGAGAGCTACATGTTTAGACTGATGAATAGTCTCCGTCTTTCATTTGTCTCTCTGGCATCCCCCCCCCCAATAACTCCCTCACCACCAAAACTGCTCATCCCTCCTCTTTTCTAATTGTTCTGATTAGAGCATTTCAGTCCCTAAGCACCCAGTGTGGGGCCTTGGAACCATTCGTGTCCATTGTGTACTTTGCACACAAGAACAAAGGAACAAATGGATCAAAGATTTGGGGGCTGCAGCCCAAATGCTGTCATGTGACCAGCCCTCTCCAGCTTTGCAACCGTCAAACCTCAGGCAGACCCAGTCTTCCCTCACTATTCTTGTGGAGCCTTCAGTTACCTAGCAACAGCTTCCAGCCATCATTTACATTATACATTTCGTGGCCACTGCTGTGAAAGTTTTGGAAGTTTTAGCTGTTTCAAGGTTTTCTTCAGAAGCCTGCATGGTACAGCCTACCCAGTGATAGGGTTTTGAACTGGCATGGTTTCCTGAAGGGTGATGTGAGCCCTTCATTCTTCAACATTACAAGTATCACTGCAAAAGCTCAGCAGTTGAGATTATGTGGTGGTGTAAATATGCTGAAGTATTGGAATGCATTCCTTCAGGCAAGGGACCAAGCTTCTACATTGCTTCTAGAAAATCAAGACTGAGCAGCAACTCCTCATTTTGTTCCCCTTTCCCTCTCCGCAGCCAGCAGAGCAACTGTTTTACACGTCACAGCCAGTGTTCCCTCTAAGCTGAGTTAGTGTGAGCTAGCTCACAGTTTTTCAGCCTCCGGCTCACACATTTTTGCCTTAGCTCAGAAAGGATGGCTCCAGAGCAAACGAACTTATGCAGTAGCCAAATTGTTTGCTCACAACTTTAATGCCAGGAACTCACAAAGTAAAATTTTTGCTCACAAGACTCCACAGCTTAGAGGGAACATTGGTCACTGCCAGTGTTCCCTCTAAACTGAGTCAGTGTGAGCTAGCTCACCGTTTTTTAGCCTCTGGCTCACACATTGTTGTCTTAGCTCAGGGAGGATGGCTCCAAAGCAAACTAATGTATGCAGTAGCCAAATCGCTCAATCACAACTTTCATGCCAGTAGCTCACAAAGTAGAATTTTTGCTCACAAGACTCCACAGCTTAGAGGGAACATTGGTCACAGCCCCAGAAAGTCTACTGCTGTGGTTACTGGCTCATGCTTTACAATATCCACACCTCCTACCCATTTTTGCCTCCTTTTATATCGAATGCTCCTTAGAAAATTGTACTGAAATTCTTGAATCAGAATTGTGCAAATCTAGGGTTGCAAACACACGCGCCAGAAAAAAATGGGGGGGGGGGGGCAAGGCTATTTCCTTCGGAGGAATTTGACCCACAGTTGCACAATCACACTTCCCTTTGAAGCTGTGGGCCCAGTTCATCAGTGTGTGATCAGATGCAACTGCGGGTGAGTCTTTTTGTGTGTGTGTGTGTGTGTGTGTGTGTGTGTGTGTGTGTGTGTGTGCCGGGTTTCCCCATGCTGTTAACCAAGGGATCGATGAATCGCACCTCCACACTGAGGGCTCCCTATGGAGTTTGCGATGATGCACATACTGAGAAGGGGTTGGGGAACAACAGCATGGAGTCGGGATGGCCTGATCAGACCATCCCGATGCCTTGAGAGCACAGGGGAGCGGTCAGACATGGGAAAGTCCATCCATGGCCCGTCGCAACCCGTTTACTACTGGATTTTCCCCAGTGTCTTTTAACTCCACTTCTGCGGCAGAGCAGAACAGACTGCCGATGGCTTCAGGGCACTTCCTAGATGTTGTTATATCATCGCGCCCTTTAAATCCACCCAGCATTCGCACCTATGTCGGGTCTAATTGTGTGTATGATTGCAGCCTAGGTCTTCTTTCATGGCTTCCAGAGAAACATCAACAGCTCATTTATTTATGGTACAGAACAACACCCTTTCCCAGGTCATCCTCCTCTTATTGGAATCACTTCATTAAAAATGCAGACATTGGCATATATGGGCAGAAGCCAGCCTGGAATCCTAAATTCTCGCTGATAAGGCATGATGTTTGTTAATGTGAGGGAAGCACTGAAACATGCACTCTAGTCCCAGGAGCTCTATAGCACATGATTTACCTACATAGGTAAATTGAGCCTAAACCTTAACTCTGAACACAAGTTCTGGCACTAAACCCTTAAACTACTGGAATATGCCTCAGGATAGAAGCTGTTTGGGGCAAAATTTAAAGGGTTCGTGTTAGCTTTCATTTGAGAGAAACTGGCATTTCTTGAGAAGGAGTCAAGCCTAATATGGAGGGGAAAAGGATACGTCAAACAGTTGTGCTACATAGTCAATGTGGAAAGGTGTGTGATGTTGCAAGAGGACCACAAACTCAGATTTTTAAAAAATTATACTAGACTGGAGATTAAATTATTGACATGGTCTTGGATCTGATGAACCACAAAGAGGTCTGCACTGCATGAATTTCCTGTAGACTTACAGGAAAATTGTAGGGGTCAGTGGGGGGCTGCAGTAAGAGGACGGAACCGGTGAAAATTGCCCTCCCTCTCTTCCCCGTTCGCGGGGAGGGCGGGGTATAAATGCAATTAAATAAATAAATAAATAAATTCTGAGACCAGAATTGCCTACCATGCGCAGAAAGGGAATTTAGGATCTAGGTCATGGTTCTAAATGCAATTTCTCATAAATGTGATTCAATCTATGTGATATGACAACATTTTAATTTTGTGTGTTGGAAAGAAAAAAATTCATTTGCCTGCAACTGGGAGAAGAATGTGCATATTCTTACCAGAGCTGTGGAAAAAGCTCCTCAATAAGCCTTTCTTAGAGGCTCCACAATGCAAGCAACGTAGGGCACAGAAGGCAATAGCTTATGGTGACACTTCTATCGGCCCATTAATACTGACTGTTCAGCTCTTTCAAAAGTCTGACAAAAGGCTGGTACATAAACTAAGTCAAGACTGTATCAATAGCCAGATTCATTAGGATGGAAGGCTGCACACTAAACTCCAACTGGAGGAGTGTGTCTAGGGGTAGGGGGAGAAAACTGTTGTTGATCTAAGATTGAGGAGGTTCTGTAAACTTACATGTGTCATAATGGTCAATAGTCCATCCACCTCCCTTACAGGAACTTTTGGCGACATAAGGGGCTGGATCAAAAAACCATGAGTGGAGTTCTGCTTATGGAATGGAATACCCCCTCCAGCCCACCAAGTACACCAGAACACTGCCCCAAGGGTACTGAAAGTACAGACCTAAGTATGACGTAGAAGCCTGCAGTGGGAAGAGGGAATAATAAAAAATGCCCCCTCCTCAACTGGTGGAAATGCCTTTCTGCTGATGGAAAACAAGCACTAAATATCACTACGCTCTTGAAGGCATCACCCTTGACCAGCACTGAAACTATAGCAACTCAATGAAATAACAATCACAGGTTGTTGTAAAATAACTTCATTTATTATTATTATTAATAATAATATAATTGTGTCCAGTAACATCTACACCACCATGAACTTGTACAAATGTTAGATATCCTCTAGGTACAGAAAGAAGAACATCACAAGTGATTCAAACAGGATAATCCCAAATAGCTTTTATTGAACAAGCATTAAGCTACCTGATCTTGGATAAGGAAGAAATATCTAACACAGCAGAGAGATTTCCTTGAAATTTAAGATGAGCTTAAAAAAGCAAGATATTAACACATAACCTCTCATCCAATAAACAGTTTCCATATCCTAGCCTCTCAGTTAGCAGTTGCTATTGGATTAGTAGGAATGAGTAAATGCTACACCCCATAAAGCCCCATAGCTGCACACTGGCTGTCCATATTTTTGCCACATACTGTTGGCACTCTAGATCTTAATTCTTTCCTTTATTTTGATTTCATTGCAAATGCCACCATCTGCCTTCCTCTCCAACCAGGCTCTCTGCTATACACTTAGCCCCACCCCCACCCCCTTGGCCCCCGGTGGCCCCTAATTCAGCCATTCCAAAAATTCACAAAGAAATTACACAGTGAGTGCCACTTCTCTTCGCAGTAGGCCGCTGCCACTTCCGCATTGAGCTCTGTGGGCAGTTCGGTGCTTTCCAGGACTGCTGGGAGTTTGCTGCTGGATGGGTGGGTTGGAGCCACTGAGGAGCTGGGAGTGACTTTCTTCTTCCCCCCTTTGCTGCGCTTGTCTGGGGCGTCTGCCTTTGCTGAGCTAGTGACTCCCCTAGCCCTGGGTGCCTGAGGTGGTTTCTGTGGTGTTTGCAGGTCCTTAGCACGGGCCTTTCCCTTGGATTTGCCTTTAGCACTGCTCTCGGCCACTGGGGCTGCTGTGGTCAGAGCTGGGGGTACCAGGTGCAGCTCTGCCTCAGATGCCCCTTTCTTGCCACTACAGAGCCGGGATTTGAGCGGGCTGCTGTCCTGGCATGGGTGGTGCTTTCTGCGGAGCTTGCCCAGGATCTGCTTCCAAAACTGTCGGCCTTTGGAGCTATAAGCAGGACACAGTTCCGGCTGGCCCCGGTAGACGCACTGCTGTCCCGTGCCGCTGTCCTCCCCCAGCTGCTGACAGCTAAGGTGGATCTCGGTGACTTCTTCCCCCGGGATCAGCTGCCAGCTGCAGAGCTCTTTGTCTCGGGTGGAGAACTGTCCAGTCTGTGCCCAGGGAGAGGACGGCTTGGCTTTTTCACTGTTTTCTTTGCCCTTCTTGCCAGGAGGAGCACCGTCCAGGCAACCCAGAAACAGCAGGGTGAGTGGAAGGGTTTGGGGGAGCCTCATCTCCTGAAGTCAGTGGATCGGTTGCCTTTTGTATTTAAAGAACATCAGTAATAAACTCCTAGCTGAAGGGCTCTGTACATTCCCCAAGTCCTACAGAATACTGGTAAGCAGAGAACAAAAAGCACATAAGCAAATCAATACCTCCTTGCAAGCAATACTTACTTCCGACATAAACGCATGACCCTCAACAGTGGTAAAATGGCCCAAAGGAGAAATCCTGATTTCTAGGAAGCAATTGCTACCTGTCTTATGCAGATGGAACGGGCTCACTTTGACTTGGTGGCTATATTTGTAGCAATATTCATGGATCCTTGTCGCTTCTATACATTAATGCAAAGTTTTAACTATTCCATAGTTACCAAAATAACTCATCCACTTCTTTTGTTTTAATTGCAGACAGATTTTTTAAAGTTGCATTCTTAACTAGAAAAGACATCATGTTTTTTTCATTCTATACAGAAGCTTAGTTGTACAAAATGAAACTGTGGAACACATCGGACATTAACAACCTAAGAGTAAATGCCCAAATATAGCTCCATTTATGTTTGCAGGTACATTTGATTTAACTTTGGAACAGGTTTTTTTCTGAAATATCCCAAGTATTATAGCAACATTGCTTAAGAGCCTTGTATGCTGCCACAGTTCCCTTTCTTTCTTTCTCTCTTTCTTTCTTAACAAAGACAGTACCATCCAGCAATCTCTGTCCTATTTTTCACGTTTTTCTTTCTTGCCTTTCCTGAGTACAAAACGCTCGCTATAATTTGTACCTCTCTTAAAGCCTTGGCAAGTTGTTGATAAATAGGGAAGCAAAATCACTGGCAACATGACAAGAGAACAAACCTCTTCCTTCTTTTGCGGCATTCAAGAGACTGCATGACCAAACTCAGCCTAAATCAAATTAAGCCTTCCTGCTGCTGAATTTATTTGCTCTCCCTTTCCCTTCTTTCTGGTTACACTTACCGTTGGACTGCGAGAGGCAGAGAGCGCTACAGGGAAAAAGAGAAGTCTGCGTGTAGGATTAGCCTCTGTTAGAGGGATGTACAGACTATGCATGTGTTATCAACAGCTCAGGAGGGGCCAAGCCAGAGCCTATGCCCCTCCCCAGTCTCGTGCATGCAAACACACACATACGCTCACCCACAGTGAGAACAACAGGGGGCTCTTGAAAGAACAAACCTCCTCCAATACGGTGCTGGGCACCATAATGACTTGTTAAGCAGATGGGAATCTCCCTCGCTTGTTGAAATTGCTACTGCTTTCCTTGCTTTATTTAGCTGGAACTGTCCCCCCCCCCCCTTTAACTTTTTTAAAATGTTGGCCTATTATTAAAGCAAATGAGAGTGGCAAGAACAACATTTCCTGGCACTATATTTATTTTTTGTGCCAAGAGGTGCTGAGCCCTACACACACACACACAACTGTGCCACAGAGAAGCTAGGGATCTTCGACGTGGTCTCTGTGCTTCACACCCATGGGATCTAGTGCGCACATGCTGGATCGATCGGCATTGTAGCAAGCTCTTTAACGGATTTTCGCGCCCAGTCCCCCGGGCATGCGCAGGAACCCCACCGCGCATGCCCAGAGGGGTGGGTGCGGACATCCCGCCAGTTCCTTTCTTACCGCCGCGTTGGAAAGACCTTTTCTCCGTCGGTCTGATCGGATCCCGCCTGACCGCCACACCTTCTGTATTTTGTGTTTGGGAGAGTCTCACAGACCGGACTCTTGCCAGCACTGTGCCAGATTTTCAAACCAAACCTGAAAAAACAGAGCTGCATGCCTCAAAGTGGCGCTCCTTGAATCGGCTCTAAATCCTTCCACAACGATGGATTCCGAGAGACTTTTGACATCGACCGCAGAGAGCGGTGGCGCAGGCGGTAAGAGATGCCTACATGTACATCTGGCCAAACAGCTTTGGCTGTTCAAGCCCCACCGCGGCCCGGGTGAGCACCCGGCCCTATGTCCCAGCTCCCGCCCACCCAGCGGCTCGAAAGCCCGTTAAAGGGCGATTAGACTAATGGGTACCTGCTACTAGAGCAGGGGGGCACCTGTGCAGCGGGGCATGCGCGGAAGTGCGAGTGGTCCTGGCCCGGAAATGGAATCGCTACAGCCGGAAGAAGGAATTTCAAAAGACCAACACCAGAGAGGACGCCGCCGACTACCTCCCGCAAGAACAAGACAAGACAACGACCCAAGTTCCGCCGCAAGAAAAAGGGTGCCTGGTAGGGTAGTCACCACCCCTATATGTCTGTGGCCCTAGGTTAGATTCTGTAAAAATGTGATTAGCACCTTCTGTAAGCCGCCCAGAGACCCCCAGGGGTTAGGGCGGGATAGTAAATCGAATAAATAAATAAATAAATAAATCGATGGCTCCGGTATCAAGGCCCGCCTCTGACATCATTCAACCAACGCTGAAGCCTCCGGCATCGAAGGTGCAATCCTCCGCCTCAACACCAGTGAAGAAGAGACCCAAGACAAGTAAGGAGACATCCGCAAAAATGGGTTCCTCTAAGCCCCTCAAACCGGCAAAGAAGGTGAAAGTAGCGGCGTCCACACTGGGTGATGCCCCTATACTGCCCCCTGCTCCATCGATATAGGAGACGCCCGCTCCTCCACCAATATCTACAATTCAAATTTTGGACTCTCCTATTCAACAACTGAAGCGTCCCTACTCTGACATCGAGAATGTGGAGCTCCTAAGTCACCCCACGGGTGCAGAGCTTTCCCTCTCTCCTTCTCCATCGTCAACATCAACAGTTTCGGAAGCTCCCAACGTCGATACAGGTCGGAATCGACACATTCCTTCTAACGCGCAGCGTCAACCTCCACGTCTGCATGCCGATACTATTGATATCGATGAGCGGATTTTTAGAGACCGTTCACGAAGATGGCACATTCCTTTGTCTCCAAGATGTGATCGGTCCAGAAGTCAACCCCCCAGAGTCTTTATCCCCCCACCACCACCAATGTCATTGGATCGCCAACTGAGATACCTCTACAGCTGACTCCTGCGGGCTATTCCGACTGGGATTGCTATTCGACCTACTCTGCTCACAGATCAAGGTCACCCTATAAATGACCTACTCTACTCACAGATCAAAGTCACACTATAAATCGAGACCTTCAGCATTGCTGTCTCGACCACTGGCTGAAGATCCTTCCCACCATCAAATGGAACCTCTAGGTCCTCCCACCCCCCAAGTCGTTCCACCAAAGGTTTTAACTAGTCAACCTGTGATTACTCCAGTACAAATACCCGAACAGGGCTGCTCTGACTCTGGAGACGACGAATCTGACTCAGAGGCTTCGGAGATCCAAACCTCCCCTGACCACAAGTCTTCTAACCAAGCTGTCGTGGAGGACCTCCCTATATCGCCATCCGACAATCTCACTTCTTATGCAGACCTTGTCAAACGGATGGCCCATTCTCTAGGCCTCTCTGTCGTACAACAACAGCCACAGGTTACTGATCCTGTGATAAGAACATAAAGGCCTCTCGCGCTCTAGGAGTGTCATCTTCCACGAGGCAACAATTTCGCCCTCGCACCTGGACTAGGCCCTGGCAAAGACGCATCCCGAATCGTCAGTCTCCGGACAGGCAATGGAGACCACGTACGGCTTCCGGTGGTCAAAGACCCGCCTTTCAAAAGCCTAAGTTCAGAACTGGACAACAGCCCTCACACACCAAACAACCAAGGTCCTCCAAGCAGGGTTTTTGACGTCCCTCCTTACCGAGTCAGCTCAAACCCGTCTGTCACCCTTCCTTTCTGCCTGGTGTCACATCATCTTTGACCAATGGGTACTATCCATCATAACCCAAGGCTACCGTATTCAATTCGACTAGAACCCCAACACTCCAGTCGTCGTCACCACACCTCCTTCCCCACCTCTCCTAGACGAGGTGTCTGTCCTCCTGCACAAGGGAGCCATCGAACGGGTACCACCACACCTCCACGGGACAGGATTTTATTCCCGATACTACACAGTCCCAAAGAGAGATGGAGGCGTTCGACCCATATCAGATCTACGGGAACTGAACTGTTATGTCACCTACCACCGCTTCCGCATGGTGTCCTTGCAGCAGATTATGCCACTTCTCCAGAAAAACGTCTGGATGGCCACCCTCAACCTCCAAGACGCGTACTTCCACCTCCCTCCCACCGCCAATACCTACGCTTCGCAATTGGTCAACAGCATTACCAATATGCAGCCCTACCATTCGGCCTTTCGAGCGCCCCAAGAGTCTTCATAAAGACTATGATTGTAGTGGTGGCCTTCCTCCGTCTCAAGGGTATCTCCATCTACCCGTACATCGATGATTGGCTCCTAGTGGCGTCATCCAAGGACACTCTAGTCTCAAACATCAACGAGACAATGATACTCTTGGAAGATCTGGGCTTGCAAATCAGTCTGCGGAAGTCTCAGCTTCAACCGTCCCAGCAGATACAATACATCGGTGCCCTACTGGATTCCAAGACATGCATGGCTTACCTACCCCAAGACAGAGCGACAGACATCATCCACCTAGTTACCGTTGTTCGTACCCAACCCTTGGTCACGGCCTTCCAGATACAGAGGCTACTCAGACTTATGGCCGCGAATACATCAGTCCTGGTCTTCGCAAAACTAAAAATGCGCCACCTACAACTGTGGTTCATCCGCAACTTCGATACCTCGAAGAATGCACATTCCACCGTCCTAACCCCTCCTACCTACATACGAGATTCCTTACTTTGGTGGACTGTCTCCTCCAATCTTTTCCAAGGGGCACCCTTCCATCCGCCTTCACCCCAAATCACTCTAACGACAGATGCTTCCCTGACAGGGTGGGGTGCACACATGATGGGCCTTTCTGTTGGAGGAAAATGGGACGCGCAGATGAGGAACTGGCACATAAACGTCCTGGAACTGCTGGCAATATAGCATGCTGCCGCCAACTTCCTACCTGTTATCAGGGGAAAATGTGTCATGGTCCTCACGGACAACACCATGGCGCTCTCTTATGTCAACAAGCAGGAAGGCACTGTTTCCCTACGCCTCTGCAAACTTGCCATCCAGTTGTGGGACCTTTGTATCACCAACAACATTTTCCTCGTAGCCACTCACATCCCTGGACACATGAACATGCAGGCAGACCATTTAAGTTGAGCAGGACTCATCCTTCACGAGTGGGAGATGAACCCAACATGCCTCCTCCCACTCTTCCGCACGTGGGGATTTCCCCCAGTCGATTTTTTTGCCACCAGAAACAACAAAAAGTGTCCTCTGTTCTGCAGTCGAGGAGGCATGGACCTACAATCTCTGGGAGGCGGTCTCCTTTACCCTTGGTCCACGGGACTTCTTTACCTGTTCCCTCCCTCACCTCTGCTTCTGAGAGTGGTCCGCAAAATCGGACTGTATATTGATAACCCCATGGTGGCCGAGGCAACCATGGTTTTCGACAGTCCTCGAATTATCAACAGGAATATACCATTAATTCCCTCCGGCTCAGGACCTCCTCTTCCTGTCACACTCCCCTCTCCTACATCACGACATACCACAATTGAAATTGACCGCGTGGAGAATAACATCAACAGTTTTTCCACCCACGTAGCGAACATTCTATTGAACGCCCGAAAACCTGTTACACGGAAGTCCTACAATTATAAATGGCGAAGGTTCAGTTCTTCCCTAGGTGATGACGCCCTTCGAGCCACCTCTGTGGGTCTTGACAAGGTTTTCCAATTCCTCCTGTCCCTAGCTGACTCAGGACTTTCCCATTCATCCTTAAGAGTTTATTTGGCCACCCTTTCGGCCTACCATGTTCCAGTCGACGGATGCACACTGTTTTCCCATCCACTTTCGAAAAGTTTTTTTAAAGGTTTATTGTATATATACCCTCCTGTTAAAACTCCTGTTGTTCCCTGGGACCTTCCTCTAGTTCTCTGCCAGCTCACGAGGAAGCCCTTTGAGCCGCTCGCAACTTGCGACCTCAAACTTCTAACGTAGAAAACGGCCTTTTTAGTTGCTGTCACCTCGGCTAGATGAGTGGGAGAAATATT